CCCCTTCTGCCCTAGACAGAGGTTTGAGATACTTGCCAAATGTATGCCTGCACAGCTCTTAATACCGACTACATGCCACAAGTCTGACCCCACAAGCTACAATAAACTCAAGAACGACAGTTCCTTTCTCCAGTTTTGCTACCGTCTTGAATATTGCAGTAGATCCTTTGTGACCCTTCACAGAAACATGTTCCAATCATCCCATCAAAGCTGACAGCTCTTCTAGACAACTGGGAGACTCCAGAGGCTCCAGTGCACAGTGTTTATCCCATTCAAGGTCGCGGAGCACATTCCTGCAAGTCACAACTGATGTGTCACTGGAATCCTGTCTGAAGTCTCACTAATGCCTTAAGTTCTACAGTAACCACGCAATCTCTTCAGCGAAATTCCTAAGCAGTTGCAACTGTGGGTTGTCAGCTTTTACAGAGAAAGGCAAGCGACGCAACAGCTCTAACAGACGGGAACTGGGATTTTTTCTTATCCAAAGCCTATCAGCTTAAAACCTAAAACAAGCTTAATTTCATTTTCCTTAAATTCTCTCATACAAAGTTGGGATAAGTCCCATCATTTTTTTTTCTGCAAAACAACTGATGATGTCAGGCAGACTCTTACCATCTTATGTTCCTATTACTTCAGAATTCTCTCTCTCTGGCCTAGAAAGCAAACAAACAAAAAAAACTCCACACAAACTTATCTTGGTCACACTTCCGCAGAACACTTCTCCAAAAGATATTTAAGATGCAAGTTCAACCATACCACTGAAAGCAGAGGAAGCACGTGTATTTCTTTGAAGGACTTCCACTCGGACATTTATCTCCCTGCATCACAGGGGATGAGCGCTTCCTTTCTCTAGAGAATCACAAACAATCCGGTGACTTTTCTGGGAGGTTGTTCAGAGAAGGAAACTTTGTCTCCTCCCAAGCTGATTATGCAGGAAAACGATCTTATTTCTGACACTTGCATACACGTTGCTCCCCCTCCAGCAAACCAACCCAGCTACTTGTTTTTGCTTTCATAAATGTTCTCTTCTAATTCTGCTGTGCTGTCAGCCGAAACAAGATACTGACTTCAACTGCCAATTAATCAGCAGAAGTAGGCTCCACCACTTACTGGTTAAGTTTTCAGTGAAGCAACTCCAAGCCTCTTCCTGCATTAGGATAACAGTTCTGTCAAACGCTCTGCTTTACCATGACACATACAAAGAAACTTCACTTCAGCTACACAAACTACTTACACTGGTCACCATGGTCTTTTTTTTTGTACTCCGTCAATTTCCTCATTGTATTTCTAGTTGGAGCCAAGCAAAACAGATGTATTTGCTTGATCCTACACACAAACAGTACTACTAATAAACACAAATGTAGAAACATCTTCAGTATCGAGGCAGTTGCTAGTCAGAAATGTAAGCAGCTCCCCTCCACCATTTCCTGCATTTCTCGCAGCTCTAAACAAATAACAGAAGCCTGCTGTTGTTTCAAAATATAAGCAAAGATAAATATGAAGGTTGGCTCTTCATTACAGACTTAATCACAGTCAGTTTTTATAAAGTCAGTTTAAGAAGTGTCATTGTGTTCCTCGGTATAAGAAAACAAAGCCTCTCTTGTATCTGACAAGCTCTTTCAAGAGTGGCTTCCCAGTTCTACAGTTAGATATGTGATTGGTAGTAGAGATTGTAGGATCAATAAATATTGAAAACAGAGCAACTACATTAAGAGTTGTCACACAACAAATTCCTAACATCCTCAATAATATAAGTCTGTTTCAAATTTCACAGACATAAAGTTCAACTTCAGGACCAATAACCTCAACACTCAGAATCCCTATAAGCACCTATTTCCAGTTCTAAAACAGAGAATTCACTATGTCTACTAAATACACCTTCAATTTAGTAATTTATGTAGATGCAAGCAGAGTGCAAAACAGAATTAAGAAGCCACTCTTTCTCTGGTTAGCAGATACTGCAAATTAATGATTCAGACCTGTGCATATATTTCTAATTGCTTATTTTTCAACCAAAAATGAGTCGCTCCAAGCAGCCCAGGAGCTGACTTCCATCTTGCTATACAGCATATGAAGCAGGGTGAAACCTCTGCACCAGACACCTGGCAGGAAACAATCTGGCCTGAAGTCTGTCCACCACCAAAGAGGACCTCCCCAGACTGCTCCCAAGAGACAAAGCCTGGTTACATTTCTCAGGCCTAGCCTCCTTTTGTTGACAGTGCCCTACAAGTACCTGCTGAATCTTGTCAACCTGAGCTTCCAGTCAATGAATCCTCACGTGCATCTCATTCCTCTCTGCATCTGCATGCACCTGTCTGTTGCTTTACATTAGGACAGCTGCTGACACACACCAGATATGAGACTACGAAGACGTGCACACCTTCCCTTTACTGCTTGCCTGCCTCCTGTTCTTTTGTTGGTACTGGAGTGTGGTGGTACGTGTAGGGGGGAAGTTGTTTGTTTGCTTTTAAATTCTGCAACAACATGAGACTACAAATTTTCATGAAACTCTATGCTCAGTGCCCCACATCTGGCAAGCTGGAAACAACTCCGGGAATGCAAACGGTGCTTAGATTCAAGTAGAGAACAGGAGACAGGAACGAGGGCCTCTCCCTGATTAAATATCCAACTTAAACCTCATTTACCTCCTATAACCAGAAAAAGCACTTAGATTCAGTGCTGGAAAAAGTCGTCTTCTTCCGAGCATTACTGCTAAGTTCTGGTCACAATTCCCTCAAACAACAGCACATCTTCAAGCTAGAAAGTTAATTCATAGCTAAGACATTGTCATAGACAAGCTGGTATTCTTGAATTTGATCACTTAACTAGAGCAATTAAGTCTGTAAGCTCCAAATGAGCATGGCCAATACTGCCAAATCACTACATTCATCAAAAACCTCAAAGCTTAGGGATTAAAGTGAGAGGAGTCTGGGGAAGAAGTCTCACATGCTTCAGAGCATACCATGCTAATCTGTTACTGTTACTTAAAACTTTAAAGATGCACTGGTTTAAGACAGCTCATTGTACTTTGATTAGAGTGGGCTAGCAACACACATAAAGCATTCTCAGATGAGACAAGATACTTCTGTACTGGCCTAAATAACTGCTTGTAACTGAATTTCAGTATGAGCTATCTGATACCTCTTATTGCTCAACTGTAATCAGATTCACATATTCAGACAGTGACTGAACTTGTTTGTGCAAACAGGACACCTAAAAGAAAGGCCAATGATATTCTCTGGCGATCCTACTTGTAGTCTAACTCAAACTTGGTGAAATGCACATTTATAAAAAGCAGAAAAAATAACAGATGCCAACAAGATTGCTGCAGTGTATTACATAACTATAGATTCTTCTTCATACAAAATGATTGCTTTAAAAGCAAAATAGTTCAGACTTGCTAAAAGCCTTAAAATACTCCTCCAATAAAAGGATTGAGGAGGAAGTTAAAAAAGAGGAGGAGGAAAGGAGCAGAAGAATACTGCATGCGAGGAGAAAAAATGAGTAGAAACATTCTATACGGCTTAGAGAAGAAGAGAACATGCAGGAAGAAGAAATGCACAGGACAATGCAGGAAATGATACACTTATGGACAACTTGATCACAGGGTTTGAGGCTTTAACAGCCAGACAGACTGGGACACAACACAGAAAGAAGAAACCAGGGTCCCTTCTAAGTTCACTATCTTCTCTCCAAATTTCAAATATAGGTAGCACTAGGTGCCTAGCCAAAGCTCACACACACAACAAAATAATCTTGTTTAACACTATACATCTTCACTGTGCAAAAAAGTGGCTGTAGTTTATATTAAACCCCTCTCTCTCCAGGTTAAAAAAACCTAAAAAAATACTTTCACACTTCAGCAATATCCTGCATTATTAAGATATCATTAAAAAAAAAAAAAAAAAAAAAAAGTCTTCTGATTTCTGTTGCTTTGTGGGAGGGAAGAAGGGAAAGTAGCAGGGGAGGGACAGGACATGCCTCCCAGTGCCATTTGTGTTTTCACCTCTTTGCTGGCAATGAATCTCCATGTGCCGACACAGGTCAGTGATAGCCAATTTCTGGCTGCTATGAAAAGCACTGGTTTCATATAGACACTGGCTGTGCAGTCATCTCAATTTCCACTTCTACTGGGACCACAGCTTCCCTTGCAAGTGGAAGGACTTGCAAAAAAGGGCTTAGAAACTGCTGACAGTCACGTATCACTGTTTGCTGGTCAGCGTATTGTTCAAAGGCACATACTGAGACTGTTCTGTAGGCATCGTGCTTGTGAAACCATCACGCCTATAAAAGCACAGTTAGATAGTCTGCAAAAAGTCAACTCTTTTCCTGCAACCGCAGGAATCACTGCAACACTGCCAAAAATGATAAACAGCAATTCTGGAGCAGTTTGCGGGTAACACTAACACAGCAACGCTTGCAGGCTCCTATTAACTGCAGCAGTGTCCACCCCAATGTCAGTTCTCTACATGGCACCTGATAGACTCAGGCTCCCGTCATAAAGCACTCATCACAGTGAGCTGGGAGGGAAAAGACAGCAAAAGCCAACAAGCATTTTGCACAGCCCTTCTTAACTGCAAGAGGCTGCTTCTAGCTATCAAGCATTCACAGTTGCTAGCAACTTTGACTATATGAAAAACATTAACTTCCCCAAACTTGTCCTTTTAAACCAATAAGTAATTTTGCATATTACAAGAAACAGAGCTTCCTGACCTCCCCTATCTGTTGAAAAATGGTAGAATATTATTTATTTAAGAGAGCTGTTTTTAGGCAAATACTTGAGTTGCTTCAACTCTTATAGAACTCCTGAAAGTGTTGTCCACTACTGCAACACAGCACACATCTTCGTATTAACAGTGTAGAAAATATCCAACACATCGAAACAACCAAGTTCTGCAAAGCACAAATACAGCTGTCTTTTCAGGTCCTAAATTAAGTTTTGCATGAAGAAGAACACAGGAATACTGAGGTTCTAAGAACGCTGAAAGAAACTGACTTACCACAGTCCTTTGCTTGTTGGGCAGGAAGACTCTAACAATAGGCTTCTGTGGAGACTTAGGGTTATTCCGCGACATATCAGTAGGATTTTGATAAACTGAAAGGGATGAAGGTGCTACAGAGAGGCTAGAGGAGGAAGATGATGCAACTGTGTCTGTTGAAGCTGAACTGGAGACAGAGAAATCAGTTCCATTTCCCATGGATTCCAATAACTGCTGTTCTCTCTGCTGTAGAGCATCTAGTTTGCTGGTGTACTCTTCATAGGCCTGTGAAGGAAGAAGGGCTATTTTAATGATGCAGTAGCCTCAGATAAAAACAGAATTGTAAACTGAAAACAAGCAAAACAAAAAACAATCTGAACTAACTCGTATTTCCTATAAATATGAACAAAATCGTCTGGTCAAGAACAGGAAGCAAACAATTAATGGCTTTCAATTCATGTTAAAACCTTCTGAACTAATTTTAATCCATGAAACAGGTAAGTGGATAAAAGAAATCACAGATCACAGTTTTAAAGCACCTGCACTGTACAGTCTAATTTAGAACTGCTTTAAAGAACAGCAATCTTTAACAAGTGCTGTCAGCTAAAGCTAAATGCACCGTTCTGTTGGAATGTAATACATTTAACACAATAATTAAGAGAAGCAAAAGCCTGCTTTTTGCCATCAGTATCTGACAACTTACCTCACTCACTGCTCACCATTCAACACTGGCACTGCATTATTTTTCCTTTTTTTTTTTTTTGACCGGAGTATAAAAACATGTTTCAATTAGAAAACAACTAAACTTGCCCCACGACAAAGTTGCACAAAAACACCCCAAAGTGATCCTTGCTTTTTCTTAACTATATGCAATTAGTTTGTCTTTTCACAAGCAAAGGCTATGCAAGTCCATATCAATTGAAAAAGTTCAGCACCATTCGTCCATGAAGTTTTAAACAAATATGCCATGAACACAGATCTGTAAGAGTAGATATTTTCATTTAAAGATGGCTTCCATCAACTTTCTTTGTAACAAGACCATTTCAATCTATATCTAGAAGCATTAGCAGGGCAGCTCCAAAGGTAACGCCTCTGAGTTTATGACCTTCGCCAACAGCATCAGAAGCAGAGGTTGGTGGGATGGCAGGAGAGGCTGAAGCTTCCCATCAGCTGCCATTACACGTGGTTGCTGTGTGACAGATGGCAGATGAAGGGCAAACTGTCACAACAGCATCTGACATAAAAGCATCCATGAAGCAAAGGTGCGCCAATGAATTTCTCCGTGCAGAAAAAATGGCGCCCACTGACATTCATCAACACTTGCTGAAGTTTTCTGGAGACCAAACAGGGGATACGAGCACAGTGAGGCAGTGCAAGTGCGTTTCAGTACTGACAGTGACAGCAGGTCACCTCCACTGGTGCAGAATTATTTTTATAAGCATGCAGCTCTTGCTCATCATTGACAAAAATGCATTGCTAAAGGTGGTGATCATGCTGAAAAACAGCGTTTTGTAGCTGCAAATTTGCTCTATCAAACAGTGTTATTGTGCTCTTTGTATCTGTTGTAGTTTCCATGAAAACACACAGGAGGAACTACCATCAGTGACATACATATCTTCAAAATTCTGAATCTGAAAACATGCATTGGTTAGGAAACTTTTGTTTCATGCTGTATAAACATTTTGGTGCTATCCAAGGATGTTATATAGATAATAAGAAACAAAGATGCCACAAATGTAATATCTAAAGAGTAATGAAAGGAACTTCCTACTTAGATCTCCAGCAAGACTGAGATTCGTCAGGCCACATGTATCTGAGGTAAAAAAGGGGTATTTACATCAGGGAAAGCTACATTTCTACTTAGTTGCTTTCCTCCTGTTCTCTGTGCAGAACTTGTTTCTAATTAAAGTTACAGAATTAAACTGACCAAAACATCTGCAGGAAAAAATACATTATTTTTAAGAGGAAAAAATAACTATGCTTCTAGTTTCAGCGATGCTGCCACAAATACTGCATTTACTATGGATTTATTTATCCAGGGGTGTACGTGCAGCTTTAACCAAACTAAGGTAGTTTATAGTAAATAAACAGTGATTGGCCTCTCTCTTTTGAAGAAGGTTTAAGATCCCTCAGGATAGACTCACTCACAAAATTTGCATTATCATACCGATTGCATTAACAAAGAGAACAGTAATTTGACAGTGGGGACTAAGAAAGAAAAAGCTGCTTAAAGGGTAATGGTGAAGACCACAATTCTGAACCCTAAATGTTGCAGGAAAACTGAGAATTGCTTGCAATTCCTTTTAAGAACTGAAAGTGTCTAGGGTTTCGTGAATAGACCACAAACTCTGTGACGTAAGGCCAAAACATTTTCATCCTACTGTGAAAAGTAAATTTGAAAGTTACACAATTATAAATAAGGGCATTTTTTGGCAGCATAGTAACATAAGCACCTCATTCTTACTTCCAGGAACAACTTTTCATGTAAATTCCAGTAAGAGTTCCATGTGTCAAGAACAGTTTTCAGTAAACAAAAATTAAGAGTCACAAACTACTATCATTTCACCGATACTTTTCTAAATACTTACTTCCTTTTCTCATGAACATTGCAAAAGACTGTTTGAACTAACACACGCAACGTTACACCACTTCCGGATACTTGTGGGCTCCGTTCCTTCACAGAGTTCCACGCACCTTTCAAAATGCCCAATCCTACAATGTTGGTACCTGCAGCTCCATCTGTCACTAATGCAATTCAATAGTCAAATGATTTTTCTTAAATGCATAAACAACAAGCATAGAAAACTGGGAACTGTTGCTGGGTTTGGATTCTACACCACTGGACTTTACATGAAAAGCTTTTTTTTTTTTCTTTAAATGGGGGTGAATTCTCCAAAATATTGTGTTGTAACCCAATGTCACAGCAGATCAAGCAACAGAACACCAAGAAAGCAGAAATCTACTATTACCCTTCAAATATGTTTTTCTTTTCTTTAAAAAACAACTATTTTTACACAGAAGCTGCAATGGTTCATGTAACAGAAACAGAATAGCTCCAATGAATCTCATTTTTAAAAATTAAGCACTTCGGTGAGACATCAGTACCAGCTGATGACAGAGAGAGCAGCACCAAGTCAAAACAGAATTGTCTGACTGACTTAAATTTAAGGAGTGTAAAAAAAGCAAAAATGATCTATGGCAAAGTATTTGAAAGCAGTTTGTGCCACACAGTTGGCCTACTGACATTACAGGCCATATTAGCTGACATACATCAAGTCTTCAAGTCAGGTAAGGTCCTACGGATCGACCCTGATGCTGATTTCTAACATCACTGGTTTCTGAAACACAAATCTATTTAGTTAGTTTGTACTTTATCTACTATAGAAAAAAAAGATTATGCAGAACATTCTCATAACTAATGGAATGAAGTATTTTACTGGCACTTCAGAAGTAAAGGTGCTATTCAGGCATTCCATTCAAGGCTTTCAAAATTCCATTCAAAATTCTGAGTTCATCTTTGCTGTTGTGCTTGTTGCTGCCATTGGGATTCTGTTGGTTCACTCCAAAAAACAAAGTGTCTTTAATCATGTATATTATCCACAACAAACACGTTTGTGCACTGTATCATTAGAAAGCTCCCAATTTTGTGTCAATTTGCAGTATTTCTGTAAGTCATAGAAAAGATATATTCTAAAAGCTGAATACTAGATTTAAATTGGTGCATCATTTAAATTTACAAGCAAGTCTATAGTTATCTAAGCTAGAAGGAAAAGCTGATTTTAATTACACTGCGTGTCAGTATGTATGCAAGTCATGAGAGAATATTCCTGAAACTTTAAATAAAACATACACAGGCCTGGTAATCTGCCAAGTTCATCTGAAGCATAAGAAATTCCTACATGCAACCTACATACGTGCCACAGGATGACAACTGCTTGCTCACAAGCAGCAGAGCTGAAAAAAAATAGTTACTACTTAAACGTTGCAACATATTGATAGGATTAGTACTGACTTCAGAAGTCAACAGAACTCATGTTATGATACACAGCTGTGCCAAGATTACACAGACAAGGGATTTCCTCAAAAACATGAGTATTTTTACATTACTTATTATTCATGTTATATTTGAAATTTGCTTCCACAGGCTGCAACCAGGCTATACATTCCATTTAAAACATTTCAGAAAAGTAAAAATAACAAGTCAGATATTTTAAAAAAAATGTACCTAGGACAAAGGCAGGTAGCAAAACACGGTTTCTCCTTCTTCCTTCTCACATCATTAGAAATTTAGTCTAAGCTCCAGCACACCAAGAGGTTTTATCATTTTCTCTCTCTTCCCCGATAATTTTTTAGGTAGTGTCCATACATTCTAAGGATCTTAGAAGCCTAAATGACAGCTTCCAGGCTGTCAGATTGCATTTCTATTGAAAAGATGTCCAACCTTTTAGATTGTTGATCAAATGCAAATCTCACTGAAGTTAAATAACAGCTGAAGATAGACAGCAACGTAGATCAGGATTTCTGCATTTAGTAAGATGCCTAAATCTGTTCTTAGACTAACTTTAGACACTCCAGTTTGAGTCCAATGTGTTTGATCAACTTGTGCTAGGAGCCTGGTGAAAGTTCATGTGAATCTCTCCATGGAGCCACTAAGTTTCCTAGTGTAAATATTTTCTTTGAATACCACCAGCAGTTTCAAACAACCAGAGTCATCATTACGATCCATTTCAGACTGTATCTGCCTGCTGATGCATAAAACACACTCTACATCAGCAATCTTCTTTAATAAATTTATAGTAATACAGCAACAAGGAATGAAATACCCTCTCAAAATTCAACAGCCAAACTCTTAAAAATGGCAGCAGCAAGGCCTCTGGATCAAAATTACCTTCCCTGGAGAATTAGACATAAACTAGAAAAACCACACCAGTTAGGGATAGGCACCTCTCTAGTACCATCATTCTCATTTTCAATTGCTTCCAAAAGCTAGGCTAAGAAAGAAGAAAATTCCTGTAACGCTAAAAAGCTGACTGAGCTTTGAAACCTATTTCATACCAATATCATTCCACCTATGTATTTGTACATTGCTTTATTTTGTGCAGCACCTGAATGCCAAAAGGTCAGCCAGCCTGCTCTTGCACTGACAGCTGAAGGAAAGTACAGGCACAATATGCAACCTCATTTTGTGAGCAGCTGTTTCCATTTTAATGGGTCAGTACAGCTAAATTAAGTTCTCAGAGAAATTTGTCACAGGTGATGTTAAAATATAATAAGATAAGAAAGAT